CAAGAACAAAGACTCAGCATCTTACCAGCTGGCAAAGTACAGTGAGTATGAAAAAAGTCAGCATCAGTAAGTACTGACATGTCTACCTGGGCTTTCCACAGCTGCCCTGTTTGTACATTCTAGGTTAATGCAGCACTCTGATCATCCTTGCTGCAGGCTCTGCTTCCATGTCTTTGACAGACAGGTCTCTTACCCACTAACGGACAGACAGACAGCCCATAGCCATGCCCCACATCCATAAACCTGGATGACACTCATGTCAGTTGGTTTTGATTAATATACATAAATAAGTATTTTTAATGATGGACTGTGGGCAGTTTAATTACCTAATCCAACCCTTACTATATTTATACGCATTCTCAAAAAAATCACAAGTTGAAAAAAATAAGACAAAATAAAAATGAAAGATGAAGTTAAAAAGATTCTGAAGTAAATGGAATAGATGACCATACTTTAAAAGCCCAATTATATTCTTTAAGAAGTATGATGGCTAGTTTCGTGTCAACTTGGCACATGCTAGAGTTATTTGGGAAGAGGGGTTCTCAAATGAGAAAAGGTCTTTATAATCCTAGCCTGTAGGCAAGCCTATAGTATATATTCTTGATAGTGGTCTACGTAGAAAGGCCCAGCCACATTGGGTGGGACCACCCCTGAGCTGGTGGTCCTGGATTCTATAAGAAAGCAGGCTGAGAATGCCATGGGGAGCAAACCAGTAAGCAGCACTCTTCTGTGGTATCTACAACAGCTGCTCCCTCCAGGCTCCTGCCTTGTTTGAGTTCCTGCCCTGACTTCCTTCAGGGAGGAAAGTGATATGGAAGCATGAAGCCAAATGCACTCTTTGCTCCCCAACTTTCTTTTGGTCAGAGTGCTTTATCACAGCAATAGTAACCCTAAGTCAAGGAGATTCAAGTAAATATTACATCAACTGACATATTACTAGGCTTCTAAGAAAACAGAGTCAATGGTGAACAAGAAATAAATCTAGGAAATTAATAACAGAGTTTTCAAAATAACAACAAATTCAGTGGGTTGATTATGATAAATTGGATGAAGTCATTTCCCCAATAGGCAACCAGAAGGCAATGTTCAAATGATACATCAAAATGCAAACCAAAGAGATGGGAATATGGAGGGAACGTAAGGCTTATGAAATACTGTTTTGAGAAAGCTATTACTAGTTTTAGAAGTGGAAAGAGATCCAAATGAATAATAGAAATGAAACGCCCTTTGACAGAATAGCTCTATGGGCTAAAGAATAAAAAGTTCAATGTTATTTTAGAGATGGTAAACAGAAGCAAACAAACTGTACCTTCATCCTGTTATAGTCTGCTGTAATTGACAACACTTTAAAAAAAAAAGAAAAACTCCCAAAGAAATAAGAAAAATACCTACAGACATTAAGTTAGACGTCTCCCAGAAACATATATTTTAGCAAGCTACAATAGTATGTTTTCATATGACTTTTTAGAAAGAACACTATATTTTGTTTTCCAGAAGTATTTGGCTACTTGCAAAATTTTAAAGAATTTACTAAAAGGAGTTGATTCTTTTAATCTTTTCATAAATATCAATGACAGAAGACATTAGAGAACATGGGAATGGAGAGTACACAAGAACCTCTGTAGAGAAAACTCTCACTTGAGGCCTATTCTAAGACTTAGCTACCTGAGTCATAGTCCAAACCTTTTGTGAGGACCCTGCCCCAGGATGTCTCATGCTTGTTGTCTATACCTGGGAAGCAGACTGCAGACTGGTGCCTAACCTGCAGTCTATAACAATAAGATGAAGATCTCACTGACAAGGGAAGTCAAACTTCCCTTCTAACTATGGCAAAGGACTGTGATGCCTGGAGGAATACTGACCTACAGTTGATTTTAACAGGTATTCAAGAGGGGCCCTGAAATGGCAAAGGATACAGAAAGAAGGAAGCTCTGAGCTGCGACAAGGACAAGGAGTTTCTAGGAGAGGCTGGTAGGTGAGTATGAAGGTCTCATGACAGGGGTCACCTGACTTTCAGTGTCTGGCAGGCCCAAAGTACTCTAAGTCACCACAAAGTGGTTCAAGTCAAAATCTAAGTTCTCCACTCCTCTTAAATCCTCTTCCTCTTCCAGCGTCAACCTTACCAGTTAAAGTAGAAAAAAACAAAAAGAGAGAGAAGAGGAGTGCACTCCGCTATCATCACAATCTCTGTACCCTGAGCCCAGAAGCTCTTGGCAAAGAAATAAGAGAGTCAACTCCACATCAAACACAGAGCTTGAATGTTACATAAACCACACACCTGGTCTTCTAATTCTAAGTCACTAATCTGAAGCCAGGTTTTGTACCTAAGACCTTGGACTTAACTAACTAGTCTCACAAGGACAGAAATTAATTTTCATCTAGAAATATGGGAGAATTACTTCACCAATCACCTTGAAAGTTCCTCGGGTCATATAAATATAATTAAGCATCAACATCACATTTTTTTCAAAATATTGGCACATTAATATGCTGTATCACATACAGTCTTGGTTATTTTCCCACAAAACAAGAATCACACCAAAAGCAAACAGCAGCATTGTCTAAGATAACAAGGCTGTTGCCGCGAAATGCAAGCAAGGAACTAATTTAAACTGATAACTGTTATCAGCTGAATATTAACTTGAAGCAAAATGAGACTCTTTCAGGTGTGTAAACACTGAGATGATTTATCTCCATAGAGCCCTTGAAACTTACTCCAGGAGATACTTCAGGAAAACCAAAAAGGCAGCCCATAAAGAGCAAGGTAGAAACCAAGTAGGAAGGGCGGCTGAATGGGAGTTAATAAGGTGTGAATAAGTGGCTACATTTAAAAGATATGTTTCAGGGCCCATTTGCTACTCTATGGCTCTATTTAAAAATAGTTCATTCTGCAAGAAACCATACTTATTTACATATACTACATTTCAATGGCGTTTTATTAAATTCACTTATTAATTTACAGAAAATAGAATTAGCGCTACAAAACAAATACAAGCACTACCAATTATGCAAATATGCATACTAGTGTGACTCGGTTCAGTGAAATGCTTTAACTGTGTCTGTATTTCCATAACAGAGTCCATAGTGCCATCTAAAGTGAATAAAACAAATACACTGTGATGTGTTGCCATAATGTATACATGCAAGTTTAAATATTGATAAAAATGAATGGTCAGAGAGGAAGGAAGAGACAAGTTCACTCTACATAGTTCAGCCTCTTTGAGATCTCGATTATTTTATCATGTTGTAGGTACTTTGTTATGTATGGAAATACATCACCAAAGAAAAATATTCTCTGCACTGATATTTAATTCATATATTCTGTATTTTCACAGCTTTTTGTCATATAATATGTCGACCTTGCATTACAAATGTAAGGACTTACAAGAGTTAGCAAATGGCTCACCCAATTGTCACTAAGCATGGCATATCACCTGAGAGACTATATGTATATCAGAGGAAGAGAATGTCCTAAGTGATGAGGACTACCATGACTGGAAGTTCTGACCTGACTGAATCCACCTCAAATGAACAGTGATGATGGAAGCAGAGAACACTGACCTGAAGATCATCAAAGTCACTGTGTCAAAGGCTAACATAACCTGAAAGTGTTTATTATTTACTTTACTCTAATATTTTATGCAATATCTCATTCCAATGCATACTCCAAAGGAGAGAAAAAATGTAATCAGAATTGTGTATGTACATGCTATACATTGAATTTATAAAAATTTGTTTTCTTCTAGGCCACTCCTAAAAGCTATTATAATAGAAAATGTTTCATTTAAAAATAAGTGTCAAGGCTAGACACATAACCCAGTAGTTAAGAGAACGTGTGAGGGGCAGAGCTAGTATTCCAGTACCCACATAATCAGCCAGGATCTTCCACAAATGCCTGTAACTCAAATACCAAGGCATCTGATTCACCTTCTAGCCTAGTCCATGCACAGGCATGTGTACCCACACAAACACTGCATGCACAATGCAAATAATCTTCAAAAAAAAAAAAAACAAATGAAGATGTTACAATACTCTCTAATAACAAGCATTTTTATATGCAAAACTATTACCACATTCATCATTTTACAGAATTTCCTAACAAGGAAATATACTCCTATGACAGTTTGTGTTGATTGTCAACTTCATGGGATCTGGAGTCTCATAAGAAACAAGCCAAGGCACACATATAGATGGTTTACTAGATGAGCTCAGCCTCTGCCCATGCCTATAAGGGTTTAATCTTCATTAGGCTAATTGCATTGAAAAAAATCTGCCCTCAATGTGGGCAGCACAGCTGGCTGCCTGGGATGAAGTTTGGAATTGCATAAACAGGGGAAAGAGTGGAGGACAACATCATTGCTCACCATTTTCTGACTGCAGATGCAATCTGATCAAGTGTCTTGAATTCCTGCTGCCCTGACTCCCTTACTCTGTGGCTATAAACAAACCCTTTATCCCTTTAATTGCTTCTCTTGTGTATTTTATCACAGTAACCAGATACATAACTAATACAACCCCCCCCAACATGTTTTACCTTCTTTCTTTCTCGTGTTTTTATTTCTTTGAATATACATTTATGTAGGATTTTAATTACTATTCTGATTGCAAAGGAAATATGTTGAGAATACAGATAAATTTTTAAATGGTGCATAATTTACTCTATGCTCTTTGTAAGGAAGATGAGGGAAGCTATGTTAGGTGACAGGAACAGAAGGAGCCTTCTCTTTGGGACAGAGGAAACAGGTTTGCTGACTCCTGGGACTGTGGTAAGGTGGGTACACAAAGACTCACTAAGCTGCCCTGACCACTAGTAAGCATGTACCTAAGGTAACAAGTTGCTAGTACTGTTTGCCCCAGCTCTATTTTCCCCTGTAAAAGAGCGTGAAATAATTAAACTCTGAACTGCTTTTCAGTACGTAAACTGATACTGCATGAACTGTACTCCTGTAATGATCAGAATGTGAAATACTAGCTGGAAGGAATATAAACAAATGGCATACCTTTCTTTCATTCTTTGTCTTTGATTTATGTCCATTTTCTTCCCTGGTTTCATAAGGACATTTCTGAGTAGGGCTTTCTGACTCGTTTTCTTTCTCACAACTGTAACCAACTGCAAGACAAACACAAAACATTTACTTGTAAAAGATATGATTATAATAAGCATGTATAGCCCAAGGTTCTTATAATACATGCATTATAAGAGAATTAAAATTTATCTGTATAAGATGATTATATGGGCTCGTGAAATAGGCCAGTGTTTACCCACACTTGCCGCCATGTCTGTTGACATGAGTTTGATTTCCAGGCCCCACATGATGAGAGGAATGAATTGGCTCCCATAAGTTGTCCTCTGACCTCCACACTTGTTTGGTGGCACACACTTGCATGTGCATACATACATACATACATACACACACACACACACACACACACACACACGCACGCGCGCGCAAAATAAATGCTATTTCCTATGTATTTATTTTATGTGTATGAGTGTTTTGTCTACATGTATGTATATGCATTGCATGCATATCTGGTGCCCACAGAGTACAAAGGAGGCATCAGATCTCCTGGAGCCAGAATTTGAGATATTTGTAACCATAGAGATATTTGTAACCAAGCACAGGTCTTCTGCAAGAGCAACAAGTGCTTTTAACCATGTAGCAATTTTTCCAGTACCCCCTCCCTTTGTGTGTGGTGTGTGTGTGTGTGTGTGTGTGTGTGTGTGTGTGTGTGTATGAGAGAGAGAGAGAGACAGAGACAGAGACAGAGAGACAGACAAAGAGATAGAGACAGAGACAGAGAGCAGGGGGCTTGTCTCATTGTGTATATAACTTAATAGGTAAACCAGGATGGCCTTGAACTCAGAGACCCATCTGCTTCTTCCTCTTGAGTGCTAGGATTAAAGGTGAGCATGCCCCTCCCCCACACCAAAAAAAGGCATGCACCACCATGCACAGTCCCATTATATTTTTTTCAAAATATGATTGTAACCAAAATATTCCAAGATCCTATAACTATATGAATTTTAAAGGTTCTAATTTAATAATATAACAATTTAAAATGCTTTAAGTTGGGTTTCAAAATTCAGTTTCCCAAAATGTAAGGTGGCATTACCTTAGAAGATTAATAAAATTGAATTGTGAAGCAGCTACAGAGCATGAAAACAGTTTCCAGTCATGACATATTCAGATTCCTCCATCATGAGACTTTGTGTGCTTATTAACACAGCCGAATGAGGCCAGAGGAAAAAGGAGAGTGAATGGCAATATTTTAAATAAATGGTAAATTTTTTAAAGATTACGTAAGTTTTAATCCATGCCTCTCGATGTTGAGAACAGGTAGCAAAGAACATAAGAGCACATGGCAATACTTGAAACTCTGTCTCCCAGATCTCCTGAGACAGAAGCAGTGTCATGGAATGATGGGGAAGGGGCGTGACAGCAAAAGACTTCTGCATTCACATCTCTCTAAGACACACATGTGGGTACATAGGACCTGCACTCCATAGCTGATTTGTTTAAAGTAACTAATGAGGGCATGTTCACTAACACATGGACAGCTCAATACTGTGAGTTATAGCACTAGATTTATGGTAGAGAGGAAAACGGTGAAGACAAAAGTATCTGGATGATTTCAATGCCTAGACTATCTTTACAGAGAGAGGGGGAAGGGAGAGAGGGAGGGAGGAGGCCATGTCTCTTTCCTCTGTACAGAAATCAATTCAAAGTGGATCAAAAACCTTAAAAAAAACATGAAACTCTGAAACTGCTAGAGGAAAATAATCCTTGAGGACATAGGCAAGGCCTGTTTTAGAATCCTAAAAAAAAAATTATGACAAGAACTGAAAGTTGTAAGATAACCCACAGACAGTCATGTAAGCCTGGTGACCTGAGTTTCGCCCCTGGAATCTACACGTATGAAATTGTCATCTGATTTCTTTCCTTTTCTTTCTTTCTTTTTTTAAACAGGGTCTCACTATGTAACTCTGGCTGTCCTGGCACTCACTCTGTAGACCAGGCTGGCCTTGAACTAACAGAGATCCACCTGCCTATACCTCTAGAGTGCTAGGATTAAAGGCCACCACACCCAGCATGTTGCCTGGCTTCTAAGCACACCACACACACACACACACACACACACACACACACACACACACACACACACACACACAATTTATTTATTTTATAAAGAATTGGCAAATGGAATCCCATAAGGCCAAAAAGCTTGTGCACAGCAAAGGCAATTTTTGTTTCCTTTAAAAAAGAGAAAGATTGTTTGAAGACACAGTGAACAGAACAGGAGATATACCTCACATGTAACTAATATTCAGAATATATAAAGAGTTCAAAAAACAAAATGATTACATACAAATGACCAATGAATATATCAAAGAAACTTCAACTCCTTGGCTATCACTGAAATGCAAATCAAAGCTACATTGAGATTCTATCTAATCCTTGTCAAAATGGCTATATGGAAAAATATGAACAAATATGAATGAGGATATAGGAAAAAGGAAGTCTTGCACATTGTTGGTGGAAATGTAAATTATTCCAGCCAGTACAGAAATCAGTGTGAAGGTTCTTCAAAAACCATAAACTAGAACTACCAAACAAATCAACTACACCTCTCTCAAGTGAATTGAAGTCTGTAAACTGTAGAGATACCTACACATCCACATTGAGGGCAGCTTTAGACACAGCAACCAAATCAGGGGTATCTCCCAATAAATAAATGGGTAATAGAAAAGTAACACAATGGATAGGACTGAAGATTGCCACATTTACTAAATAAGCCAGACTCAGAAGGACAAATACACTATGCCTTTCTTCTTTAAGTTGTGTGTGTGCCTGTGTGCTTGTGTGAGAGAGAGACAGAGAGACAGAGACGAGAGAACATAGATTGAAATGCCATGACAGCCAAGAAGAATACTGGGGAAACAGAAAGGGAATAATAGAAGAGCTAAGGCAGAAAGGAGGATCTGAGGGTCTGAGACTGTGGTGTGGTCCAAATACATGTTATTTTTGCGTTAAATTATCTTTATGAGAGCTGCCATTATGTACATTAAATATAAACTAAGTTTTGTTTGTGTGTTTTGGGGTTGTTTCTTTTTTTTTACTAAATATTTTTCTGTGTAGCACATGCCAGCGTAGAATTTGTAATCCTCCTCTGCCTCTGCATGTTTGGATTACAAGCATGCTCCACCCTGTCTTACAGAACCTGCAGACTATCAGAGCAAGGAAGTGCATGCAGTTGGCATATCATTTCTTTCCTAACTTCAGCTTCTCAACCTGTAGCAGTTCTTGAGAAAAGACATATTAAAAACAACCTCGCATAAAACAGAAGAGACGATCACCAAGCACGGAAGACTTGGGCATCTAGAATGCCAATCCTCCTTCAGTGATGCTGCAAATGAGGGTCCCAAAGACACTTGGAAGCCCAAGTTTCAGGCACATGCTGGGGAGAACAATAATTACAGACTATTGAGACAAGGGAAGTTTTTTCATTCCTGATCCTTTTACTGTATTTACTTCTCCAAGACCACAACCTTCAGAACGATGACAATTTTGAAAGATAATAATCATCTTCTACTGGTTAATCTTTTACAACATAACTGCTACTGTCACAGAATATTACACGTATTATTTCATGCAATTGTGTCAATGATCCTGTAAAGGTCACGAGCTTTTGCTGTTTTTATATATGAAAAAAAAAAAGAATGGTCCAGTAATATCTACAGGGGAGAAGGGAGAAGACAGTGGAGGAAATTATTCAACTCTCAAAGAGATATTTGCAGGAAACTAAACAGATTTCAGGCAGTACTAAGACCACATTGAAGCATCACTTTCTAAAAGGAGACTAAAAGGCAAGGAAGCAGGAAGCAAATGTGAAAGATGAGCATCTGAAAGGAATAGATTTATTACTGCATGTTACTATTCAGTAAGCAAAATGAAATTACAAAAATATACATTCTAGTAAATTTCAGGATATTCAATATTCTGAGAATAAACATTACAGAATAGACATTCAACTGGATGAGAATTAATGGTTCTCATTTTCTAATATAGTAATATATACATGATTTCTACTCCCTGTCACATGAATATTTTCCTTATTACACAAATATTTTATAATGAATGAGAGGCTCAAACACCACTGTCTTTTCAGGGGTCATGGATAACTGCATATAATATTTATTAATGTTCAGCAATATCCAGCGAAGTCCATGGAGACAAGGCCACAACTGTAGGCTTACCTTCTGATGCTGTTTAATTACAATCCATATAGTTCTGGCTGGTGACCTACAGTTTCAAAATATGTATAGCTGTAATGAACATTTTTTAAGGAATCTATGATTCATGGATAGGGTTTTTTCAATGGCAAAGGCAAGCAACTCAATTTGTTGTGCCTTTCCATGCCGAAATTCAGCAACTATCCTTCATGTATGTACATGTTCAACCAATGTTAACTGAATATGCTCAGTTCCCTGGAGAGATTCGTGAGTACTCCCATCTAACACAAACTTCTTAACACCTACCATTGCGAGTCTCTGATTCCACTAGAGAGCAAAAACAGCTGTGAAAAGAATTCTTTAACTGAAAAATGCTACTGAAGAAATTACTCATAATTTAACCCTGAGGTAAATTAGAAAATATTTAAGATAGGAGGATATATACAATCAAAACTGAGGAGGCCAATCACACATGTAACTGAAAGTCAAAAAATACAAAGTGCAAAAAAAATCATTTGAAAGGTAATATTAAATATTTCTAAATTAGACCACATCATCTAGGTTTCATCACACAAAGCAAGCACCTCAAGATATGATTCTGAGCAGCAATAAAACTAAACTTAAACATTCGTTAATTACCCTGTGTGAAGTAAGGAGTATGATCAGTTGCTGAATGAGGAGTATGATAAAGAATACTGTGTTCTGCTTATCTATATGTAATAAAATAGGAAGTAGTTTGCTTACTACATAGGATACTTACTTCCTCTATGAACTTGTGAAGACATTTTTAATAATTTTCATTTTACAAACATGTCAGATGTGGAGCTATTAGAATTCTTAATTTCTTATAATGTATGGATGAGCCCTCATTGTGTGGTTTAGAAATAAGACTGAGGCCATGTCTGAGGTCATAAGAGTGGGAAAGCTGACCCTGCCCCTCACTGGCTGCAGGACTCAGATAGTGGCCTTGGACCTTGCCTGGTCCAGCTCCTTGCCACCTGCTGCAGTGTGTCAGCTACCCTGGGCGATGCTGAGAGCTTGCGCAGGTGGCACTGATGAGGGAAAACTGGCAGGCTGGCCAACTAGCTACCACCCAGGCTCAGAACCAGTGCTAGAAATTGGCCCACGCCAACATCCAAGTCACCTATGAACTAATGGAGCATATGAAGGTGCCTGACCCGCACATCCAAAGCCACAGGATATCCATGACATAAGGCAAGAACAGGATATCCAAGAGGAGTCCCAGTGAGGTCCCAGAATCGAGGGTGTAGCAGAAGCCAGAGGCCTCGAACCAGACCAATGACTCACCGCAATGAACACTTACAAGTAAAGATGTATGGACTGAAGGGTACACTGTGTGACTCACTGTCCCACTGCAGCTTCCACACTGAGATTTTTTGGGGGTATGTTAGTTTGTTTATTTGTTTTTCTTTTCAATTTTATTTTATTTTGCAGGGAGGTTGCAAGAGCAGACAGAAGATAGGAAGGGATGGGGAGATGAATGGAATTGGGATGCATGATGTAAAATCTACAAAGAATCAATAAAAAAAAGTCAAAAAAAAAAGAAGAAGAAGAATTTGGGGGCTAGACATGGTGGTAAATGCCTATAGTCCCAGCACACTGGAGGAAGGGACAGGTGGATATTTGTGAGTTCAAGGCCAGCCTGGTCTACATAGTGAATTCTAGGACAGCCAGGTATATATTGAGACTGTCTCAAAAGAAACAAATAAATAAATTTTGTAGTGAAGTTACCATCTTATACCAAACCTGAATAATAAATTTAATAACTAAATCAAGGAAAAGAAGAGTTTAAATATGAGAATATTACTTTTAAGCCTTTACTAATCAAATACAATGAGTAGGCCTCTGGAAACATTGGGACATTAAGTTTATTGAAGAAATACTAATTCTGGCATTTTTCTAAATCTTAGAGCCTCCTCTTTCCTATGTTTAATACAAGTCATTCAAGTTAAGTGATACATCATTTCAAATTTAGTGTCCAGTACACTTTAACAAATATACATTAAAGTGTGACTGCATTATACAGGCTTTGTATTCACTAATTTTTTATTTTGTTGTTGTATTTTCCAGTTGTACAAATTCATTTTGTTCCTGTGTCTGCATAGGTGTGTTGTAGTGTGTGTGTGGGGGGGGGGGTGTGTACAAGAATATTTCTATTTCCTGCTGACACCTCTTCCTTTCACTTATTGATATATTTTCTCTTAAGTCCTTGAATATATTCACAAATGCTTGTTGCACATTTTTTCATCTGTTAAATTCAATACCTGAAATATTTCAGAGTTGGTTTCATTTTTTTGTTTTGTTTTGGTTTGGTTTGGCTTTTGAAACAAGGTTTCTCTGTGTAGCCCTGGCTGCCCTAGAAATCACTCTGTAGACCAGGCTGTCCTTGAAGTCAGAGATCCACCTGCCTCTGGCTCCTGAGTGACAGGATTAAAGGCTCGTGCCACTACCGCCTGGCCATTTATTATTTTTTATCTTGACTCTGAGGCATATTTCTATACATAATCAAATGTTTAGTTATGGACTGGACAAAGAGATGACACCTTGTAGACATTCTGAGCAATCGTCTTCATCTGAAGGATGATGGCTTTTATTTAAGAAGGCAGTGTAATTTGGAACTGATCAACTTGAAATTCAAGGCTTAATTTTATTGTGTTTGGGTAAATTCATGTAAGGCCCTAAGTATTCCAAAGTCACTAACTTGGTAAGAACCCAGCTCCAAACTCATTCTACTATAAACCCTCCATGAGCTTTGTCACTAGTTTTTAGGGCAAGTATGGGATGCTGCACGTTAATGTGCTGTTAGAGACACACAAAGGTAGCCTGTCCACCAGGCATAGCTAGTCTTGCAGTATCTTCTATCAAGGCTTAACCTGTAGAATTTCTAGTCTCTTCTGAGGCCTAGATAAATTTCCCTCTCTTGTAAGCCTCAAGTAGACCTGTGGTGTACATGGAGCCCTATCATGAACTGAGGACCCATACTCAACTCCCCAACGAAAACAGCCACTCCTCATTCCAACTCCTCTAGGAGGTTTTCTACAGATTCTAATTGTTTCGACAACTCTGAACTAAGAGATTTCCCTTTTCATTACATCAAGACTGCCATGTTCTGGACACCCATCTCCAGGAGGCTTGGTTTGGAAGTTTTCTGCGGCGACATGATACCATGGTTGACTGTGGAATTATGTCTGTATTTTTTTTTGGTCATTCATCTTCTTTGACTTGCACTGTATGGTTGCCTTGTTTACCCATTAGTTAGTGACATCTGTGGAAGGAGAGCTAGACAGGTAGCAGGAAAGTTCATCATGTTCAGACAAGAAATTTTTCTACAGTTCTAAACATACTTTTGTTTAAAATAAGTCTTTGTGACATTATAACTAGATTTCCTATTGATCTACTTATTTACAAATTAGCTTTCACAACCTTTATTCATTGCCAAATGTATCTAGAAAGCTGGCCATAGATAACTTTGAAATGTCATCCTATCAGGACCAAGAAATTATACTTTCATTATACTATATTCTTACCTTTGATTAAAGGTGCCTGAATATGTCCTACGTCTATGTTCTTCAGTGTTGCTTGAAGCCCAGAAATCTGAAAGCAAATAGTACAAAGATGTGGTATTATATAGTAAATTAATTTTGAAATATTAAGTAAAATGAAAAGTTGACTGCAAAATATCAAAAATATTAATCTCTCTCAAACCCATGCTTTTAAGTTATAAAACATGAAATGTGAACTTTAGCAGAAAGATGACATTATTTTAGTTAAAAGTCAATTACATAGGCAACTATTAATCCTCCACTACAGAAAGCATTTGAAGTGTGTATCTTACTGCATAATTTATTAAACCAATAATGCTCTTTAGATACTTTGACAACTATTCAGTTCTACTTTGAGAGAGGATTTTTCTCAGCTGAAATTGCTTCACAATTTGCCTTTTTATCTATAAACTATGCAATTTATTCTTATATTTACAAACTATGGAGTAATTATTTTTCAGGAATCAAAATGTGAATAACTATTTTATGCCCATAACAATTATTTATAACATAGATAATTTGCTTTTTTATTTATGTCTTATAATTACAAACATTTTTGGCTGTGTGGTATACCTTTATCTACACTTCCTGAATCACAGTCAAATTTAAAATTCAATCTTTTAAGCCATCTCATCCTTTACTGTACATAATTATCCAACCATAAAATACCTCCCATTTAACTACATATAAATGTACACATTTCTCAACTATCACTAGATACCAATATTTACTTCTGAAAGTAGGAGATAAACTGTAACCAACTGATTGGTACTAATGGAATGCTAGGGTAAAATCAAAGACAGATCCGTGTCCTCAGAAGGCAAATGGATTATAAACTTATCAGAACACCATAAGCATCATACAATAGTGACTGCTACAGTGCTGGGAATTAAAGTGTGCCCCACACCCAGTATCCACAAGTGATGACCCAATGGTATTACATTACCATGAAGTCAAGGCCATTTCCTTGACTTTCATTTGTGCCGCCAGAGCTCATGTAGAATATCACCTTACACTCAGTCCCTGCGTCCCCTCAGCCTCCTCTGGACTGACACATCTCCGAAATTCTCCTTTATGTTAACGCCCTGAGGGCCTGGAAAGTGGTGGTTGGGAAGTCCCTGGAGGATGGCCTTGACTGTGGAGAGACTTGTTTTTCTCCTGGTTGAACTAGAATTAGGGATCTTAGGAGGGCACTAACAGAGGAGAAATGTCATCGTTTCTCTTTACTATGTGTGCTATAGGTAGCACACATATCTCACAGGTACTCCCTGTCAACAAGATTTTAGCTGATGATGTAAATCGCCTATTGCACACACACACACACACACACACACACACACACACACATACACACACACACACATCCATTATTCAGTGGATCATTTCTATAATTTAAGACCACAGACATTTATTTTATACTTTGAATTATACCAATCCCACATTGTTTATCTTGTTGGTCAAACTGTTACAGGCTACAACACTGGGAATTCTTCCTGGAATGGCTGACTGAGTTAGGTTTCTGTTGCTGTGACGAACACCATGATCAAAAACAACCTAGAGAGTAAAAGGTTTAATTCAGCTTGCAGCTTATCATCCACCAATGAGGGAATTCAGGATTGGAACTCAAAGCAGGCATCTGAAAACAGGAAGCACAGAAGAGGCCATGGAAGGAAACTGCTTACTGGCTTCCTCCTCTTGTGTCTTCCTAAAGTTGCCAGGACCACCTGCCCAGAGGTGGTAACAGCACACAACTAACAGGACCCTCTGACATCAATCGTGAATCAAGAAAATGCCCCCACAGACTTGCCCCCACAGTCAGTTTTATGGAGACATTTTCTCACTTGGGGTTTCCTCTTCTTAAAGGTTCTAGTTTGTGTTAGGCTGACAAAAACTAACTAGTACAGAGTCTTAGAATGAGAAAGGTGACTCCGTTTTTGGATACTTGGCTACTAGGAGCTTTTAAGCCTTAGGGCTAGTGATGGGCATCACCTGGACTCCAGCGGAACTGGGGCAGATCCACAATCAAGTTGGGATGCCTATAGAACACACATCTCCTGGATGGGCTCTACGCTGTGCCTACAGCTTTTCCTCAGTATGATCCCTGTCATCTCTAACATCTCAATAATCTCACCTGAAAACTATTTGTTAAGGAAAGGAATGTGAGTGAATTGAAAGCTACAGAAAAGGTGAGAGCTGAGACAGCATCTGTAATTATTAAGGAGAAATTGCCTTTGCCAAACATCTTAGGCCATTACTTTTTAATTCAGCCTCTCTCCAATTCACAGGATACAAGGAGAACTCAGCCAGATTCTTTTCCAGAACATAACATTAGTGGTTCCAGCTCAATTCCCAACAGACTCCTTGTTCTCTGAAATCTCATGAGCTGGGCCTCCATTATTTGTGGTTTTTCCATCATGTTTATCTTCCTAATATTAGGGTCCTAAAGAAGTCCCACAAAGACCACCATCCACTTATCCAATCAGCTAGAACATTTATTATATCAAGGAAATTTCCCGCATGCTGGGCCTGGCCATCCCACACAAAGACAAAATGGCGATGACCCAGAGAGAGACATGTGGGCTCCTTTTAAGCACGGCTAAGAGGAGTTCCCAGAGCAGTTAGGTCATTTTAGCTATGATTGGCTTAAGCAAGCGACAACCATATTGGTATGTTCTAATTGGTCAGGGTTAGTCAGGGGCTGGTCAGAGCTACAGTTTTCAGTTTTTTTGGCAGGCCTGGACAAGTCTCAGGCTTTGTCCTTATTTGGTTATCTACTGATTGTGGCTCAGGCCTCCTTGTCCTTGCTCTCATGGGGGTGCTAGAGATTAATTGTCCTTTGTTTGTGGCTCTTTCAGAAACTGCCTGCTTGGTTCCAAGAAGCAGAGACTAAGGCCTAGTTCTTAACTGAGTTATTAGGGCAGGCTGTCATGCTATTTGCCTGGCCCTCTTACCTAAAGCTACTGGAATGGTGTATTACACTCTACCTTTGACATGCTGGGGATTTTCTGGCCCAAAGTTCCAAACTCTTCCACATTCCTCCCAGAAACCAACCCCACAGCCTGCTGGGCCTCACATGGGTTAGGTGTATCACAGCAATGGCCCCCACTCTTCAGTACCAGTTATCTGCATTGGTACTTACTGCTTTGACAGCTACCTGTAAGAGCAGCTTAGAGAATGGGGTGGGGGGGTGCAAGTTTCATCTCACAATTGATGATGCAGTCCTTCATGGGAGAAAGACATGATGGCAGGTGCATGAGGCAGCCAGTCTCATTACACACATCAGGAAGCAGAGAGAAAGTCTGGGACTCAGCTTGCTGTCCTCCTTTTATTTGGTTCTGAACTCCAAGCCATGCCATTGTTATTCTATTTTCAGTTAACCCTTTCTGGAAGTACCTTCAAAGACCTGCCCAGAAGTATGTTTCCATGGCAGCTGTAAATTCCATCAAGTTGAAAATGACTATTAACCATCATACCGATGTACTTACTAATTGATTGCAGTTTAGATTTTGTGAATTATGGAATTTTTCAGAAAAATTATGAATTTTTCTCATAAAAATTGTGAAAAATATTTTCCATAAACTTGCAAAACTAACAATTAGGATTGTAAGGTTTTATGTTTTAAGTAAACTTAAAAATAGTCAGTTTAATGTTTGTTATATACCAGAGGTATTTAAAAGTGTGTGCTTACTAGATTTTTATCTAGTAAATGTACACTTTCACTCTTTAAGATATGAAGTTTTCTAAATTCTGAGAGCTACACTTATCCACATAGATGGGGGACTATCAAAGGTCCCACCCCAAGATAAAGAGCTAGACAGGCAGCTGACAGTTCCTAAAAGAGAGAAAATGTTTTGTTTCTTGAGATGAGCCACTTGATAGGGTTTCAAATCCCAAGTGGTTAGCCTTAAATATATATGAGCAACACTAAATGGAATCATAGGTTGCATTTATATATGCAATTATTTTGTGTGTGAATGCAACAATAATAATTAAAGTTGAAGAAGCTTGATCTTGAGAGGGAGTTGGGGGAACATGGGAGAATTGAGCAGGAAGAATGGGGGATGGAAATGGTATTAATACAGTATTAATGAATGAAATTTTTGAGAAATTTTAGTTTTAAAAATTCTAAATTCTAACACTTCACACTGCAACTATTATATATGTTATAATCTACTGTTATTAAAACATAGTAAGTTAAATACTCATTAAAATACAAATTTAAGGAAATGATGATCTAGGTTTTGACAGTAAACAGGAGATTCCTTTTGCTGCCCTTGACTCACATCTTTAATGTGTGAGGTAAAAGAGAATTCTCAGAGTATATGCAATACTAACCTTATGTTTAAAGACAAACAATGTGATCTATCCTCTGTGGTGAATCATAGGTAAAATTTTCATATACTTAAAATCTATTTTTCTTGTAGAAATATTTTGAATAAACTAATTCTGTGGCTTCATGACATTAATAAGTTTAGGACAGAAGATTAATCAGTGGTCACACAGTCAGAATACACCCAACAAATAAGCTCTTACAAGAAAAGGTTTGTTGGCAACAGATCAGTCTCTATATTAAAGCTAGCCAAACAGGTTCAGTCATGAAGTTACAAGCATGGTTTGCTTCCCAAGAGAATGTTTATGACTTAAACCATAGTCTCTTCCCTAATTTGGGGACCAGGATAATTGGCTCAGGGACTATAACAGGGTGATACCTGACAGTCATTTTGACACTTAGCAACTTAGGTTCAAAAAATTATAAGTTATCTACTTCTTAGTATAGACAATAGATACTCCCACAACTTTTACTAAACCTATTTAATGACATTATAGTATAAGCTTAATCAATCATTTGACCTATATTAGGTTTAAATAAAATGTGTTGGTGTGAGCAATCATGTATAATACAGAACTTATTTGAAGAATATTTTATTTTACATCTCATTTTCACTGATATCTGTAAAAAAAAATCCTGAAAAACCATCAGATGCCCAGGATCAGCTTTGTTCTTAGTGAATCTATTTAAATATGACTTTTTCAAACTGTAATGAATCTACAACTTTTAACAGCAGATGTAGCTGAGAGAATAAACGTATTTCTGAAACCTAACTGCTCCATTTTCAATATCAAGAAATAAACTCTAGTATTTTCCAACAGTAAGTATTTTCTAAATCTGTATTCTTTTTTAAAATCAAGAAAAAATAATAGAAATTACTCTGTTAGAACAGGTATGAAGATTGCTGAGACAAATGGGGGCACAGAGTGGTTTTCAGTGTATAATAGTATGGAAATATAGCCCCAACAAAGAAACACAAAAAAGCCCAAGGAAGGAAAAATTAGAGGTCAAGCATAAGAACATGAGAAAGAACTTGAAACAAAGGACAAACAAATTAGGCCTCTTGAAATTGCTCCAAATACAATACACACAATCCTACTTCCTCAGGAACAGCCTCAAACACTGATGTATTTTACAGACATTTCATATTTTATATTATTCTAAAAAACCATAGAGTCATTCAGGTAGTGCTTAAAAACTCTACATCCAATCCTCTTCATACTTCAGTAGAGGTACATAGAACTATTAACATTTAAATAACTTTTAACTATTAACATTTAATAGTTAAATAACTTTAACTATTAACATTTAAATAATTTTATTTCAGGCTTATTTACTGTGGATGAGCATTTTTTTTGCCTGAATGAATATTTGTGTATCACGTGTGTGCATCATACCCACGAAGGTCAGAAGAAGACATCAGATCACCAAAGCTGGAGTAATGGATGGTTGTGAACTACCACCTAGGTTCTGGGAGCCCTACAAGATTAACAAGTGCTCTTAACTACTAAGCTATCTTTCCAACTCCAGGAATGTTTAAAATTTAAAATACTAGACCAGGAACATAAATCTGACATGATACCCTTGCTAAAATGCTCACAGTTACTATAACAGAGGCCCTGGAGTTAGCAAGATTCCATGGTTTGCATTCAAAAGAACCACTCAGAACAAAGTACATCAACACAAAAAATGATCAAGCCTAATATAAAACACCAGAAAGCATAGACAGATAATGGCATGTAGACTTTACACCAAATGTATATTTATGTGGCCTTTTGACCCACAATAATGAAGAAATTTAACAGAAAATTAATTTCTGCAAAGCAGTTAATGTCACTTGTACACATCCTTGCTAAACTTAAGAGGCTGTTTTAACCCAACAGGATCCAGATAGTCTTTTGTCTTCAGCAGGAATATGGGTTGAAGGACAATTAAGCCAGTTTCCATAGTAACAACAGTGTGCTGGGCATCTGTGATATGGTATATAAAATTAAAACCTGACTCATTGCACAATGCACTGATACTAAAGGCAAATGATTCACCCCTGTCTAATATTGAAGAAAACAGAAGAAAATATAAAAGACCTGAATATTGCAGGACTAATTTACAAACTACCAAGATTCACACCATCACTCCCAATTCTTATCTTTTTGTAATAAATTACTATTAAGTAATCTGAAACCCAAAGATTGTATGCATGTCCTAAATGTCTTCAACATCACCTTTGACCAACTTAAAGAACCACCATCATGTTAGAGACAAAAAAAACAGAAGAATGTTTGCAGGTATACAACTTAGCTCTAGTCACACAGCAGATTGAATGGTAAAGCCAATTCTACTCAAGTTGCAAAAGCAGAAATCAACCCAGGGGTAGTGTAAGCAAGTTGCAAGCATCAATCTTCATTGTCAGCTTAACTTGAGGTCACTATAGAAGCACACGTCTGAACAGGTGTGTGAAGCCATTTACAGAAAGAACTGAGGATGAAAGACCCACCTTGAATGTATACAGGCAACACCACTCCAGGGCTGGGGTCCTTGATTGAATATAAATGAGGAAGCAAGCTGAGAACAAGCAGTCATGTCTCAGCTTCCTAACTGTGGATCCCAAGTTATCTCACACTCCATGACATCCCTGCCATGATGGGCTGTATCCTCAAACTGTGAACCCTTCCTTAATTTCCTTTTCTCAAGTCTTGCCAAAGCAATGAGAAATGGAACTAATACTTACTACTGTTTAGGTGAAAAGAATGAAGGGGATCAAACTTTCAGAGTTTGAAATAAATGTAATAAAAAAAATTAGATAATTAGAACACTCGTTTTATTCAATATTACTTACAATATAATTTAAATATTCAAGGATATAAAATTGAAATTCAAGTACAAAAGGCATTGAAATAGTGATGTTTTATATTTTAATGGCTAAGAATTTCAATGAAGAGACCAAAATACCATTATTTTAAAAACATCTTAACAATATTATAAGAATTGTATTACCATCATGACAGCTTTCATAGCTTCTGAGTTTGGGTTAAAAAATGTGCAGGAAGTAACAAAAGAATATTAAGTATAGTCACAGACATAGATTCTTTAACAAACTGTTACATATTTTAATGTGGCATGTCAACATTTTGTTTTCTTTTTTTTAATTCTATGCCAACAGTCCCTCCCCAAAGTCCTAGTCCTACACACACACACACACACACACACACACACACACACACACACACACACACAAACACTTCAATAGAAGGAAAGAGGGTCATCAGCATAACTGAGGAAAATTTAGCCTTAACTAAGAGTACCAAATACATATTTGAGAGTAATTTCCAAGGCATTTTCACTCACTTATCTCATTTTCACAGCAATATTATTTTTGTGACTACCACTTATTAACACTATCTCTGACCTCTAAGGACTTGGGAGGCAGGAGATAATACTCTAGAGCAGTAGTTCTCAACGTTCCTAATGCTGTGACCCTTTAATACAGTTAGTTCCTCATGTTGTCATGACCCCCATCATAAAATGATTTTCATTGCTACTTCATGACTGTAATTTTGCTACTGCTATGAATATCAATGTAACTATCCAATATCCAGGATATCTGATATGCAACCCCTATGAAAGGGTCATTTGACTCCCACAAAGGAGTCTCGGCCCACAGGTTGAGAACCACTGCTCTAAACATAGTAGGTGAAATGACTCGGGCGAAAACAGCTCACATACATTAGAGTGAAAGCAGAGACTGAAGGCAAAGGGAAGGTTAGGGTTAAAAACACAGTGTGGAGAACTAAAGAAGATAAGTAAGAGCTCACAGCTGGATATGAGATAGCCAATCGGACCTGATGAGAGACCAGCGGGTTCTAGGAAGCAAGGTCAGTGACACGGGGCCAGCTGCTAACTTCCATGGCTTTTCCCATTTGTGAAACGTGTGGTAGGCACTGTTGTTTATCACAGATTCTTGCTTTTAATACATGGTTTTTAACACAGCTATTCTAACAGACTAAGCTGTAAGCGAGGATGGCTTCTGACCGGCCTGAGACAGACAATCACGAATGAAACCTAGACTATCCCATAGACAAGAAGGAAGCCAGGAACACTGCAGCTACTTCTTGGTAGCTGTGAGAACCGAAAGAGCTCTATATAATTAACACTTAGGACACCTTCAGGGTCAGAGACAGCAACACCAGCCAATGACTAATGGCTAGCAGACAGTCAACATCAGCAACTTACAAAACCATAGAACCAGAACAACTAACAGTTAGTGAGGCACATGCAAGGACTGAGGTAGAGAAGCTGGCCAAGTAAGCAACATCTGTCAGACAGTTGAGGCCGATTACTAACAAAGCCAGAATCCAAGATGAATGCAGGTGCTCCTCAAATGAGCAGCTAACTGGATGAACAACTCTCCAATAGCACATAATCATTGCCTGGTTAGCCTTTGTGGGGGGAGCATATTTAGAACTTGTGGACTGTTCACTTGGTTGGCCCATGACAAACCAAAGAATTGACCAAACTTAGTAGAGCACCTCAGTCTCTGCCCAGTTTCTGCTAATATCCTACAAAAATGATGGACAAAAGAAATTCAGTACATTTTTCCCTTCCCTGGAAACCCCATCTTCTCTGAATTTCTAGCAACCTTTCTCAATTTCTTACTATTGTGTAAAAGCTCTTGACAAGACTTGCTTCCCCTTTGCATACTTCCATGAGAGGCTGCATCATTGAACCCAGTTGGTGGGATACAGCAAAATCAGAGCCACTGTCCCAAGTCAACCTTTGAGGACTGTGGGTATGCAACATTTTAGGTCCTTGAAGTATACTTAACCAGGCCAGCTGTGAGTCTCAAACTCTATGTATCACCTAAGTAACTTGCTGAATGCTGATGTGAGTAGCAGTCAAAGCTGGCATTTAAACCCAAGTTGTTGTCATTGTTTAACTACAATGGCTGAATATTTTCTTCTAATTGTACTTTAATGATCTATTAATTCATGCCTAAGTTACATGTTAATTAATTAAATAATAATAATCATGGGTTTTTAATAGATAAGATATTTTTTCTTCATGTTTCCAAATAAATTTTATATGCAAATTTCTGGAAAATGTTTTAAAACTTATCTCAGAAAACAAAAACATCACTGTATGCATAAAAAAAATGAAAGACTAAGGGTTGGAAAACAGCTCAGTTGGCAAACTTCTTGCCACAAAATCTTGAGTTGACGCCCTATAAAAATGTCCAGCATGGTGGCACATACTTGGAACCCCAGCACTGGGGATAGAGAGACAGGGAAATCCCTGGGACTCACTGATCAACCAGTCTAGCATAATTGGTGAGCTGCACTCCAATGAGAGACCTGTCTCAAAAGAGGTAGACAGCATGTCTGAGAATAAAACATGATGTCCTCTGGCCTCCATATACATGCACACCCTTCTGGACACACACTCATACCCACAAACACACATATGTACACATATACAGTTGCATGCATAGTAAACAAATGATTAAAAGTTGCCTCAAGGTAAATTCACTGTCTCTTTCCTTACCTTCCCAACAGCTCGGTCTTTTTCCAAGGAGGTCAGCATTTTCTCCTTCAGTAAAGCATGATGCTTCTCGTGTAACACCCTAATAGTTGGTTCATAAGATGCATAATGCAGTTTCAGCCTGCAAAAGTAAAAGGCCGGTTGTGTCATCAGGAAAGGTAAAATAGTTACATCAGTGATTCTCATCTAACATCTAAACCTTTTTCTTTTCTTTCATTCCATCTTTGTGTGCTTATGAATATAAATGAGTAGCCATATAAAGGTCAACATACCAGAGCCAAGAAGCACAGAAGTGTTATTTCCTGTGTAATTTCATCTACCTTGGATATGGGATAAGTACAGGATAGGACACCACACTTTCCTTACCCAGCAGCACTTTTTGCTGTATTCAAATATATACTCAGAAAACGGATGTAGAGTTCTTTGAAATTTAGAGAGTATGTATTGCCAGGCAGAATAGTACTTCAGGCCTATAACCCCAACACTCAGGAGGCAGGGGCCAGAGGATCAGGAGCTCAAGGCCGATCTCAGCCACATAGTGAGTTCAAGACCAGTCTGAGATGCATAAGGCCTTGTTTCACAAAACTGAAATCCAAATTTTAAAAAATTAAATAAATATCTGGCAGGGCGGTGGTGGCACACGCCTTTAATCCCAGCACTCGGGAAGCAGAGCTAGGCAGATCTCTGTGAGTTCGAGGCCAGCCTGGGCTACCAAGTGAGCTCCAGGAAAGGCACAAAGCTATACAGAGAAAGCCTGTCTCGAAAAAAAACAAAAAAAAAAAAAAAATTAGTAAAATAATGCTCAAAACAAAACAATTAAAAAAAAAAAAAAAAAAAAAAAAAGAACAAAAAAAAATTAAATAAATATCATTATATCAATTAAAAACAATTATCAAGAACACAAAGGCCACAAACAATAGGAGATTAAACCAGAAACCAGAAGTTTCATGAATACCAAAATGAAAGATAGTCTTGAAAACATGTTTCATTGATCTCATATGAAGAAAATTAAGTGTATAAAGATACAGCTTTAATTTATGTGTCTATGTGTCCATGCGACTGTATGCTGCACATGTGCAGGTGTCCAAAGAGATGAGAAGAGGGTGTCAGATCCCCTGGAGGGGGAGCCACAAATGCTTATAAGCTGCATGATATGGGTGCTGGGAAAGGCACTCAGGTTCTCAAGAAGAGCAGCACACGTTCTTAAGTACTACGCCATTTCTCTAGCTCTAAAAATAGTTTAATGTCTCACAGAAGATAGTACTACTTAATATACAACATAAATGCCTTCCAAAATGTGTTTGATTGGAAAATGCCTTCAAACTAGGCTTTACTTTTTACTGAAATTTATATGAGATAAAATATATAGATCCCAAGTGTCAGAGTTAACAGTTTAGACTAACGTGTAGATCCACAAAGATAATATTTTTATCAAAATGTAGTATTCCTTACATCCTAGAAAACTCAGAATCATGTATTTGGTGTCACAGAACATTCCCTCACTGGGAGCTCTTTTCTTGCACCCAGCACACATTTTTTTTTTCAGGTTACTCTGTGTCATATATGGGCAGCTGTATTTCATTCCACTTGTGCACAGTATTCTCTTACATATATACAATTTTTTGTATAAAAATATGGTAAGCCTACCTTGCAATGGAAACCTTAGGATGTTGGAGATGTAAAAACTATGGTAAATCTACTGGGGTGGGGGGGGGCGGCTACATGTGCTGCTGGTGGCAGACCTCTGGGGCAGAGCTACTCAAGACCTTCGTAGCATAGAAAATTCCATCACAAGCCCCAGATGTCAGATTGTACCTGCAGGATTTGTCCTGCACCCTACTTGGTTTCAGTTTGCTTTGGTTTGGTGATGCCTTGTTATACCATCATTCCTCCCTTTGGGATGGGAATATTTACCTTATATCACTATGTATTGTAAATATGTAACTTGCCTTTTGATTTTATAAAGCCTTACAGTAAGGAAATTACCTTGAGCTCCAAATGAGTTGGGACTTTTGTTTGTTTGTTTGTTTGTTTGTTTGTTTGTTTGTTTGTTTGTTTGTTTTGAGACAGGGTTTCTCTGTGTAGCTTTGGTGCCTTTCTGGAACTCACTCTGTAGCCCAGGCTGGCCTTGAACTCAAAGAGATCTGCCTACCTCGGCCTCCTGAGTGCTGGGATTAAAGGCATGTGCCACCACCACCTGGCTGAGTTGGGACTTTTGAACCGTTCTGGAATAATTACTGTGAGGACTTTGCAAATTCAAAAAAAAGGGGGGGGGGGTAATTCAGTACTATGAGATGGTAGCCCATGAGGCACAAAAATCTTAGAATTCAATTGTAAAATGTTCCTCATAGCTTCATGAATTCCCATAGTTGGTCTACAGATATTAATGTTGTTAGGGAAGTTTGGGGAATTTTCAGGAGGTTGAGTCTTACTAGGAAAAGTCAGTCGCTAATGCAGGCCTGGAGGCTGTATAGCCTGGCCCCACTTCCTGTTCACACTCTACTTCCTGACAGCAGATAAGTGTGACCGGCCAGCATCCCACCCCTACTTCCATGCCTGCCCTGACATGAGGGCATGTATCCCTCCATCTGTAAGCCAGAATAAGCACTACAATCCTTAAATTGCTTCTTACCAGGTATTATGTAATAGTTATAACTATACATAATAAAAATAACTACTAGCTCATTATGTCCCTTTTAATTGCATATTTAGAGGGTATGATATTTAAATATAAATACCTAGGGTTTATATTGGATATCATATTTATAATATCCATGTCAACATAGAAAGTTAGATTAGGTGGTATGACCTTAGAGCAAACAAAAGACAATTTTATTTGATGGCTATAAACTGATTTGTTGTTTTATAGAAAAAGAATTGAAGGAAGCTAATGAAGGAGGGAAATCTGAAGAATGCCTCCAAAATTGCTTCTAAAATTGCTCTTATAAATTCCAGATAATTTAGGATATGCCTCCTATCCCACCACAGCCCTGTCTGTTCTTTGTCCTCCGTGGTTCATCTGGTGAACATTCCACTTTCCTTCATGACTTGGTTCTGTTGCATGTAGGACACTGTCTCACAAGGGCAGCCTGAGGACACCGCTCTACAGCTTAGCCACTCTTCAGAATTCAACTCAATGAAATACACCTTCGAGGCCCTTCTCTCACACCAGTCTTATGGAGACTGTGTCTTGACTGACAAAGGAACAGCAGAGTACATTGTCTTATATTTGTGTTTACCTCCTCAGTCACACACTCCAATGGTGTGACTATTCCTCCAATGCAAGGGCCTAAATTTCCTATCCAATAAACTTCAGAGAACCACTTTATTTCACCAGTCCCCCCGTAGTCAGATCCCAAGAGCTAAAATAACTCTTCAAGGAACATGAGCATCTCACCCTTTGAGGTCAGCGATCAGCTTGTTCTTCTCTTGCATGATACGCTTGTGGTGCATGCGATGGAAGTCCCGCTCCTTCTGAGTTTTCAGTAGTTCTTCTCGGGCCTTTCTGTAAAACACCAACACCGACCTTCAAGACAACTGCTACCCATTTCCTACAAAAAGCATTTTGCATTCAGTTCACATCCAATAATGAGTGAGTCGATCATAACGAAGGAGCACAGAAGGTTAGCACACTCTCACCGAGGGACCACCAAGTATGGGGTCTTACTGTACATCCTTGAGTTATGAAAGGACAAAGCCCATACTTTGAAAAATGTGAGTCATACACAATATTTTTAAATCAAGTTAGAAGGTTTGCAAGATACATGTAGAGGATAACCCAATTATTGCCAAAGAGAATTTTGGCTTACAAATTTAAAATACATGTAAATCAGAGTAATTCATAATAATTAGAAATAAAGGAAGGGAGCATACTCTTCACTTTCCTGGATTATGTATTAGATCATTTAGTTCTGATAGTTTGGAAAGCACATAAATTAAAAAAAAAAACAAAATTTTGTTCTGTTAAATTAGATGATAAATATGTACCAACAGATGATCCGATTACTATATATAACTGATATCCTTATGAGAAACTGATCACATAGACAAAATTCTCCATCAGCAAAAAGTTAACTCCCAAAAAATGTGAGCATATTATTGATTCAATCAATACAGAAATATTGTTACACTTGGTGGGTGTCCAAACGTTCAAATAGAGCAAGAAAGAAAATTCATTTCAAACTGGAGTTTGATGGGAAGTATTAATGGGAGTATTTTACTCACCTCTGTTATATGCTAGTCTCAGTAAAAGACAGGTTAGAATGAACAAAAAACCAGCTCTCTATCCATATTGGATAGCTGACAACATGCACCTTTCTTGATCCTTTCACATTCTGAAAAATGAATCTACCTGGAGGGTGGACATGCTACATTAGGGTCAGAAGGGAAGAAATCTGCCTTTGTATGTGACAAATATTACAGACTTGAGATTCACATAAAATGAATGCATACATAGAAGCCTCAGTTTTAAGCTATGTCAGAGGATTCTGTGAGGAACAGTGTCTGGTGAGCTGCCAAGGAAGTTTGTGGAATAAGGTTGTATCTCCAGGGTCCCAGTGAAGCACATGTTGATCAGTGGGATTTCTGATCATAAAATCAAATTATAAATGGTGTGTGGTCAAAGAGACATTGATACAAATTCTAAGTTTCTTCTCCCCCCCTAATCCTTCAATTCCTTTTTGGATAAGTTTTATTGATCTTTACTAAGAAATTTTGAGGTTTTCATCTCATACAAGTAAGCAATACCTACTCAACACAACACTAATAATGTTCATGTTCCACCCAATCCTCAACTTCATATTCATGCCAACTTTTTGGTATGATAATAAACTGTGATTCATATATTCAGATTTGAAAATTCATCTGAACATGCCAATACAGCTTTTATTTGCATGTGCAGAAATACGTGGTATTAGCTACAAGAAGAAATCAAAGCCCAAGAATCCATGTGTTCCTCTCCTTGTTGTTATGACAAAATAGTTTAAAGAAGGGGGATTTGTTGCTAGAGTTTTCCTGCCTTGCCCACAGTCAGGACAAATCTTTCTCACCCGCCAGTCCCACAGCCGCTCAGACCCAACCAAGTAAACACAGAGACTTATTTTGCTTACAAACTGTATGGCCGTGGCAGGTTTCTTGCTAACTGTTCTTTTATCTTAAATTAATCCATTTCCATAAATCTAAACCTTGCCACGAGGCTGGTGGCTTACCGACGTCTTCACATGCTGCTGGTCATGGCGGCAGCTGGCAGTGTCTCTCTCTGCCTCAGCCTTCCGCTTCCCAGAATTCTCCTCTCTCCTTGTCCCACCTACTTCCTGCCTGGCCACTGGCCAATCAGTGTTTTATTTGATATACAGTCCATCCCACAGCAGGGATTTCGCCGAGCGGTGGTGGCGCACGCCTTTAATCCCAGCACTCGGGAGGCAGAGCCAGGTGGATCTCTGTGAGTTCGAGGCCAGCCTGAGCTACCAAGTGAGTTCCAGGAAAGGCGCAAAGCTACACAGAGAAACCCTGTCTCGAAAAAAAAAAAAAAGGAGAAGAAGGGGGATTTCTTCTGTTAGAGGTCACAGTCACCATAGCAAGCAAGTTGTAGCATCAAGAGTGAGGGACAGCTGGTCATACTGCATCCACAGTCAGGAAGCAGAGACAAAGTGAAATGTTGGTACGCATTTTGTTTTCTCCTTTTTACTCAATCCTGGACTCCAGGACAGGAGATGTAATGTTGCTGGGTAAGCCCATCAAAGACCACCACATGGACACTCTTAAAGATGAAAAAAAGTCTTTATTGCTGCCTGGTGACTGCATACGAAACTTGCTCAAATCATGTAGCTCAGAGCCTTATAACCTTTTGTCTTTTATGGAGAAAAATCACAACCTGGTTGTCAGTTAGCAAGAAGCAGAACTACAGAAGCCAAAAAGCAAGTTTAGCACACTTTGGGACTTTTTCCTTGAGGACTTTCCTGAAACTATGGACTAGATCTTTGCTCCCATTTTGGCAGGTGTTGGCTTTTAAGGTCAAAATGGTACCTCTAACATGGCATCAGTTATGCTAAGGTATGGGAACCTGTTACAGTAGGTACCCACATTTAAGGAGGATCTTTTCTCTCCACTTAAACCTTCCTATAACTCCTTCATAAAGTGTGTCTCCGTGGTGATTTTAAGTTCAATCCAGTTGAAAATGAAGATGAGCCATCATACCATGAATTTGAAAAGTAGCAATTTTCCCAGAGAGGCTAGGGTACAACTACTTCCCAATTCTTTTAAGTTGATCCAAAACTTTAGAACTATTGCATTTTAATTGTAGTTTTTATTTTAACACACACACACAAACTCAAGATATTAACTTTCTGAGACAAATTTTTGTTAATTTGTACAGTGGCTGCTGAGCATTCATGGTATGCCATGACTTTGATGTCAATCACCTCAAGGGTTTTCATGTCATAGATTTAGCTTCTCATATATTCACACAATGCACTAAAATACTTAAAACCTTCATGAAATATACCTTTACTAGTTTACTATCAAGCTAATTAGAATTTACTGTCTTTCCACATATTTTTAGAACCACCATTGATTTGATTGAAACCCATTAATGTCCATTGATTATGGAGTTACCAATTAAAAATCTCACTATTGGTTCAAGAGTATCTCTGAGGTACCTTGGGATATATTGCTAAATGCTTTGATATACACACTCTTTCCCCTGTATATTTCTGCTTTGTTATACATATGTATAATTTTTAAAGTTCTTTTTAAATTTTTATTACTTATAGAGATTTGTTGGTGTGAAGTATTAACACAGGCATAGGCTTGCAGGTACCTATAGAGATCAGGAGACATCATAGGATACACTGGAGCTAGAGATCCAGGCAGTTGTTAGCTGCCCAAATGAGTGGTAGGAATCCAACTCTAGTCCTCCACAGAAACAGCAAAAACTATAGAACTTTCTCTACAGTCCCTATATTTATATAATTTTAATCAATGATTTTATCACACAGCAGGTACTTTCTATTCTCCTACTTTTGAAATTCTGAGATTTATACAAAATTTAGACTCACGTAGATGTTTTTATTTAATTGATATTATATTGCTTCTGGCTAAGATCTCTCTATTATTATTTTTTATTAAAGCTAATTTTCATTTATTCATGAAGCTTATTTTTCAACATTTCTGCAAGTGTTTCATGTGGTTGATGTTAACAGAAAATAGAAATGTCAGTATAGCTTTCCATGCAACAATTAGGCCTAAATTTAAAACAAAATACAAGAATTTCTAATTTGTTGATTTTTGGATATACAATGCACAAAATTTTTCTTGTTAAAATAACCTTGATATTCTTCAAGGAAAGTATATTTGTGACAATTTTTTCCCAGCAGTAGTTCTGAAGTCTCCTGGGTTTTTGTCTACTTTCAGCAGCTCCAAAAGCCTCGGGCTGTAATTTAACCACTTGTTAACATCTGCTAATTAGACATTATTAACTATTAGGCTGAAACTTTAAAGAATTCTTGATTCTGATTAAGATGTATACATTTCCTAAGAACATTGCTTTGTCCTAAAAACAACACAAAAGCAAATAAATTTAAAATTAATACATTCTAGAACCTACCAGAAAGCTGAAGTGTAACGTGTAACCTGAAAGCAGTCTATGAGCCAATTGTGCTGAAGCAGAGAAAAAGACAAGACACTGGGTAACATCTTAAAATGCTAAGTACTGCCCAGTGAGTGTCAGCATGGTTGTCTGAAAAGGCTGGGTAGACTCAACCCATTTGCAAGTTCTTTCTCATACTCTCTCCACTCTGGTTTCAGTGGGAAAGGTGGAGGACGTTCAAGAGGCCAGAGAAGCTCCTTCACTGAGGCCAGAAATTCCAGGGGTATGAGGAGAATCCCACACTTGTGTTAAAATTTTATGAGGTTGGTTAACTCATTAAAACTTCTGTGGTTATGGAGAGTTTGAATGCACCTAATGGCCACTCACTACCCAGCTGTGTTTGACCTAACATCCACCCTTGTTACTACTAGGTAAACTCCAGAATATGTAACAAATCACTACCTTGTACCAATTCCACAGCTAAGAATGTAATCATATACACCTAAAACTAAGTAGGATTTATCCTGATTTGCTCTTCCTTACTTCCCCAGTGTTTTCAAGAATGTGTTCTAATAGGGCCTTGATTTGTAATTTTCTTTTCTTCTATTAAAAACTTCATTAAGCCATTACATTCTACCATGACATCTGGAACAACTTGAACTTGTATTCTCAGGCCATGGTCATTCATATTTGACTTCAAAACAAACTGTCTCTTGTTCCCTTTGAGATGAAATCTGTGTTTTGGTGTCCACACTTTCTTTTTTTTATTTTATTTTATGTTTTTTTTTTACAATACTATTCAGTTCTACATAATAGCCACAGATTCCCTTGTTCTCTCCCTTCCTGCCGCCCTCCCCTTCCCCCCAGCCCACCCCCCATTCCCACCTCCTCCAGATCAAGGTCTCCCCCAAGGACTGGGA